GCCAATCTGGGGATTAGGATTGTGACCCAAAGAGCACCTCCGCAGGGACATGAAGCGGTTGGTGGTGTGGAAAGGGCAGTGAGAACACTCAAGGAGTTGTTCAGCACGGTGAGGTTGGATCTACGAGCGCAGGGCTTTGACTTGAAGAGAAGTCCTCGAGCGTTTGAGTTTGGTCTGATTTACTGTGCTGCAATGCACAATCACCATGCAGCTGCCTTTGATGGGAAGAAATCACCCCAGGAGTTGGTACTACAGAGATCCCTCCATGAGTGTGGATCGTCGTTGATAGGTGCTACAGTTCTGGCTGAGCTACCGGATTCGATGAAAACCACGGCGCTCTCCCGGTTTGTGGAAGCAGCCTATGTGTACCCTGAAGTTGGTGGCTTGACTCATGTTGTGAGTGCCATGGTGGATGGTTGTCCAAAACACTTTCGAGCAAAGTCCATCAAGCACATCGTTCCGTTGAAGATTGGGTTGGAGCATTGTCAACATTTGCTCAAGGAGCATGATCCATCGGATACATTGGCTCCCCCGATTCTGAAGGAGAAAGAGGATGGTGTGCCCGATCGGATTGAAGGTGAAGCGGACAAGGCCTTTGAGGGCCGAGTGTCTGATGGACCGACCACAGACATGAGCAAAGTTGGACCTCCAGCTGCATGGGTGAAGGAACATGGTGGCACAGCGAACTGTCCTGCGTGTGGTCCAAAAAGAGGAAAAGCCAACCACAATGCTGAATGCCGAAAACGGTATGATGATTGGTTGAAAGCTCAACGACAACGGTTGGAATCGAAAGAACCAACAGAGGAAACTCCAAAAATGGACCAGAGAAGCTCAAAGGATGCGGGGGTGATGGAGTCTGGAAGTGAGCCTTCACTCCTGAAACGCCCGAAGATCACCTATGAGAGTCGACCAGATCCCAAGTTGGAGGAGAGGCAAAGCGTCCCAACACCTGCGACAGAAGTTGTGGATGTTGACATGGAGGATTTTGAGGATCCAAGTTTGCCTTACCAAGGGATTCCAGATGAGGCAATGGAACCTGGATACTTCGAAGGAGAAACTCCCGCTGAGGATGAAGCGATCCCAATGGAGGAAGAAAAACCTCAAATGGATGTGGATTCAGTTCCAAATGAGTCCAGTCGAGTTCCCCGGCGTTTAGAGAGTTTAACTTCAGATGTGAACTCAGTTCCAGATGAGTCCAATCGAGTTCCCCGGCTGATCAATCGTATTTGTTTAGACCCAAGACTCGATGTGCCTCAAGGTCCTATTAAAATGGTAAGCAGTGACGAGAGTCCGAAGTTGGTACATGTGACCAATTCGATTCTGCTCAACAAGAATAGCACTTTCCCGGAGTCCATGAAGGTGTGTGGATCCCAAGTTTGGCTGGCAAGACCCACGAGTGTTCTGTCTGAGATAGATGGATGTCCATTAGATGTGGATAAAACAGTGGAAGGCCGGCGAACTGAGCTGCAGAGTATGACTGCTCACAAAGCAGGGAGAGTGGTTGGAGCAGACGAGGCTCAGAAGTTTGCTCGTCAGCATGGGATAAAGATCATCCCAACCCGATGGGTCATAGGCCCAAAGGTGGTGAATGGCAAGGAAGCTGTGAGAGCTCGGTGTGTGGTGCAAGACATCGCAAAGGGGAGCACAGCATCATCTTTAGGACTGAGTGCTACGACTCCTTCTTTAGAAGCGTTACGGACGCTTTTGGCCATTGCTTCGGTAGATGCTATGGATGTCGCAACTTTGGATGTTAGCACTGCATTCTTGCATTCCCCCCTTCCGAAAGGATCGAAGGCGATTATCCAATTGCCCAAGGATGTTTCCGCCTGCAAGGACTATTATGTCCCGGTGTTTATGATTCTGGATCAAGCCGTGAATGGTTTGAGAGTTGCCGCCAAAGCTTGGAACTTGAAGCTGGCGACAGTTGTGAAGAAAGTTGGGTTGAAGCAATGCCCAACGGAACCTTCCGTCTTCGAGGGCACTGTGAGAGGGAAAAGATTCCTCATGTTGTGCTATGTGGACGATTTGATTCTGTGTGGCACTAGAGATGCCATTCGGTTGGTGACCGACACCCTGAACGGAGAGTTGAAGATCAAGGAAACGGGTCGAATCACTTCCACTGGTGGAAAGATCACCTTTTTGGGGCGAGAGATTGAGAGACAAGGGAGTCATCTCAGGATGCGAGTGCCCCCGGCATACTTAGATGCCCTGTTCGAGACAGAGTTCTGTAAGGACCTGAAGGTGGTTACTGCTCCTCCGGACATCGTGAAAACGGTCGAGAAGGGCAGAGCAAGTGGTTCGGATCCTGAGTTGAGTGACACTGCAGCTGCGAGGTACAGAGCAGTACTTGGCCGGATTGCATGGTGGGGTCAGTCGAGACCTGACCTGAGTAGGTGGATGTCCATTCTTTCGCAAGGACAGTCCAAGCCAACAGCATGCTTTGAGCAAGCATTGCGACAAGTGATTAGGTTCCTAAAGGGACAATACCATGCATGGCAGTACTTTGGCCCTGATGGGAATGTACCAGACAGTGGGCCGGCGCAGCTGGAAGTGTATGCGGATGCCAGTTGGGCACCCCAAGCGTCGTTAGGACGAAGATCTGTGTCGGGCATAGCCATCTTTTATAGAGGATGCCTGATCAAGGGAATCTCTCGAGTTCAAGGGTGTGTATCGCTGAGTTCTTGTGAAGCCGAGTTGAGAGCCATCTTGACTGCGGTACAGGAGAGTGAGGGACTTGCGACTTTGATCGGTCAGTTGGCCGAGTCAGATGTCACGATCCGATTGCACACTGACAGTTCCTCAGCGAGAGCGGTTTTGCTAAACCGTGGGTTGAGTAGGCGAGTTCGCCACTTAGACATCGCTGTCTGCTATCTTCAGGAGCGGATACAGGAAGCTCAGACCTTGAAGGTCATTTGGTGCCCGACAGCGGGAATGATCGCTGACGTTCTTACAAAGTGCTTGAGTCAAGTGACATTCTGTCAGCACCAGCAAGCTATGGGTATATACCCTGGTGAAGATGTGCAGCAGGTGTGGAGGATCTGTGGAATCCGACCAAGGGTTGGAGTTCAGGCATACCAGTGTGCCGAGGCAACTGGATGCAGTGTGGAGCAAGTTGGATCGTTGAAAAGTGTGAAAAAGTGTGGTGAAGTTTTTGAAAATTTCCACCTTAGAAGTCCCGAAACCCTTCGTGAAGACTCTTCCCCTGAGGTTCAAGAAATGGATTTATGGTCCACCCGCAAAAGCTTTGGTTCAAGCACCACGGAAGCTAGCCCTAGCCTGGAGCCTGTACCTTTGGTGAAGGACAGGAAAATGGCAGCTGAAGACAGCAGGAAGGGTGAGCAGGGTGCTGAGATGAAAAGCCCCTTTTGGTGTAAGGTTTGCAAATGGTTGTTCAGATCCGAGCATGCTGCCGGGTTGAGCTGGGATGAAAGTGGCAAGCCCAAGTGCGAAAAGTGCAAACAGACTGTGACAGTCTCTGGCACGGATGCAAGCCATGCATTCCATCTCCGAGAGGCAGAGAAGGAGCGCCGAGCTGCTGGAAAAAGGGGTGATAAAGGTGAAAGCCGAGGCTCAGGCCAAGCTGCACCGAAACCCAAGGCCATGCCGAAGGTGATTGAACGGATGGTCGACGTGTTTCCGGAGCTGGCGGATCCAGAGCCGCCGAAGTGGTTCGGTGATGTGTCATGGAGTATCTGCCGGCGCGGAACTCCAGTGGATGAGCTAGAGCTCAAGGACGTGATAGGCACGCTATCCGACAAGGATATGTTGCGCTATCAAAGCTCATACGAGAAGCTGGTGAAGCCCATCCAGGAGGTGTGTGAGCTACAGGAGAAACCCACGAAGATCTTCGGAATCTTGGATGTCCGTGGACAGATTGGTGGCAAGGCCATCATCTGGGAGATGGCAGTGAATGAAGGAGGACTGTACATGGAAGTGCCGCCGGGAACGTGTGGCCTGGCGATGTTGAGCTTCGTGAGGTACTTGAAGAGAAAAGGGATAATCCCTGTTTTGCTTCTGGGTGAGCACCAGGACCTCGGAGTCTTGCGGATGGTGGATCTGTTGTGCATGCTACCCATTTTGGGAGCAGAGAGGATCATGGAGGATGAAGCTGAGAGCTCGTATTATCCCCCATGGGTGTTGCGCTGGAAGAGAAGTCCAAAGGAAGGATCCTTGGTGTTTAAGGAACTGGTGGAGCGAGTGCGAGTGATTTCGATGTTGTCGTGTGATACACTTCGGATTCACGAGCCGGAGCTGAGGGAGAGACCAGTCCCCAAGTGGTCGTTTGTGGCCTACAGCCACTACAGATCCGTGATGGAGTCTGTTGCAGGATTCTTGGAGGACTTGGAGAAAAAGAAAGAGGAGATCACCGACACGCAGAGGGCGGCAAGCTGGAAGAAGGTGGTTGCGAGTGAGACTCGAAGCGGTGTTGTGTGGATCTGCAAGTGTAAGTGGCACTTGCCGACCGACTATGTGGTGAGGTTCAACTTGACGTTGCCTGCCGACATGTGGCAGCAAGCCTTTGGGATCATGGGTGAGAATGTTGGGAAACTCGAGAAGGAGGAAAAGGACCTGAAGCGGATCCTCAAGGCTGCAGCGGAACAGCAAGACCGAGAGTTCGAGGAAGCTGAGCGAAAGCGCAAGCGCATCGCCGACCTGTCAGCTGCCGAGGAAGAAGCTGCTAAGAGAGCAAAGCTGGAAGGCGAAGCGGTTCGCTCGCCTGTGTCAGTTGTACCATCTGAGTTGGATGCAGCAGCTATCGCGCAGATTGCTGAGCGTGTGAAGGCAAGCTTTAGTGTTGCCGTGTCCGCGGAGGGGCGGCTCCTGGACAGCTTCGAGCCGGCGGAGAAGCGGGGCCGCGCGCTGGCCTTCGCGAGCTGGAACGGCCACGCCTTCTTTTACAAGTCGGCGCGGAGGCCGCGCGGAGGCCCCGCGTGCTCTACCGGAGCGAGGCGCGGCAGGAGGCGCCCGCGGCCGTGGAGTGGAAGCGCTGGGAGCCGGGCATGGAGCCCGCGCCGGGCCACCACTGGGCGGAGGACCTGCGGGCCGTGCACGCGGACCTGCTGGCGCGGGGCCACTGCCCGCGCGTCGTGCTGCGGAGCCTCTGCGACTGGAGCCGCCTGAAGCTGCGCGTGGGCGGCGCGGGGGAGTGCGTCATCGCGCAGCGGCCGGAGGACGCCGACGTGCTGGAGCGGTGGATGGCCGCGCTGCAGCTGCCCTACCGCGGCCAGCGCCTGGCCGGCGCGGCCCACGAGGCCTTCGCGCACCTGCTGCGGGCCCAGAGGCTCACCCGCCCCGCCAACAGGCAGCAGGTGCTGGAGCGGCAGGAGCACCGGTGCGCCAAGTGCGGCGCCCCCATCCAGGCGGGCACCTGCGAGCTGGACCACCTGCTTCCGGGGACAGCGTCAGGACGTGGAGGCGCTCTGCCTGGAGTGCCACCGCTCCAAGAGCACGCTGGAGCACGCGCAGGCGACGGGCCTCGAGAGCCGCTTCAGCCGCAGGGCCGTGGAGCTGTACGTCCACTCGCCGAGGCCGCCGCCGCTGGTCTGCCACCTGCACGCCTGCAGGGAAGACCGGGAGTGCCACGGGCTGGACGTGGTGCGGTGCCGCAAGAACGCCCTGGCCAACGCGGCCTTCCCGCTTCCGGTCTTCTGCCCGCTCGACAGCGTGGAGCGCGCGGAGGAGGGGCGCCTCGCCGACTTGACCTACGTGCGCCTGCGGCGCGACGGGCGCTGCGGCGCCCTGTCGAGGCTGCCCTACCTGGGCCCGGGCTGGTACTCGAAGCCCGCGGCGGCCTACATGCTGGAGCGGGGCATTGCCGCGTGGCAGGACTTCGAGTGGTCAACAGACGCCACCGCGCACGTGGAGCCGCGGTGCCTCGCGGAGGCGCTGAGGGCCATGGAGGACGCGTGGCCGGAGGAGGAGGAGCACTACGCGAAGCTCTCCGTGAACGCCCTCATCGGCCTGTGGGCGCGGAGCCGCGAGTCCGCCTTCCACGTGCGCACCAGCAACAGCGAGCTGGACGTGGCGGGCGCGGACTACCGCCAGTGCTTCGCCGACGCGAAGGGCCAGCTGGTCTACGACTACGTCTACGAGACGCCCGTCGTCAGCAACGGCAGCTACAGGCCCGCGCACGACTTCGTGATGGCCGCGGAGCACGTGGCGGTCGCGCGCCTGCTGCACGGCCTGCGCGCGGTGCCCCACCGCACCCTGAAGGCCGTGAAGACGGACTGCATTGTGTTCCAGGACCTGGCCAAGAAGCACTGGCCCACGGTGCAGGAGCTCACGCAGCTGGAGCACCGGGACGGCAGCCGCGTCTACCGCTGCGAGGCCGTGGCGCCCCTGCCGGAGCGCCCTCCCTGGCGGGACATCGGCGCGGAGGGCGCGGAGGAGCACTGCCTCGCGAACCGGAGCCTGCTGCTGACGGGCATGCCGGGCGTGGGGAAGACCTACCTGGCCAAGCGCATCGTGGCGAGGCTGCGGGAGGCGGGCAAGGCGGTGCAGATCATCTCCAAAACGCACTGCAGCGTGCAGAACCTGGGCATGGGCGCGCAGACGGCGGACCACTCAGGGTGGTGCGGAACGGGGGCGGGCGGCCCGTCGACTGGCTGGTCATCGAGGAGATCTCCCAGCTGGACTGCGGCCTGTGGGCCGACATCGCCTGCCTGAGCCTGAACGGGGACGTGCGCTTCCTGCTGCTCGGGGACTTCCGGCAGCTGCCCGCGGTGCTCGACTCCTTCGCGGGCGCGCCCGTGAAGAAGGAGCTGCGGGACAGCGACCTGCTGCACTGCCTCGCGGACGGCTGGCGGCTGGCGGCACGAGCTCACCGAGAACCGCCGCAGCGACCCTGGGATCTTCGGCTTCCTACAGTTCCTGCGCGTGGACGAGCCGGACGAGGTGCCTCTGCACGTGGCCCTGGCGGCGGCGCGCCGCGACTTCCCGCGGCGGCCGGGCACGCAGCCCGACGTCTGCCTGGTCATCTCCCACGCGCGCCGCATGCAGCTGAACGAGCACCACAACCGGCGCCTCGCGCCGCCGGACGCGCTGCTGGTGCCCTACCGCAGGGAGGCCGAGGGCCCCGTGGCCACCAACGAGCCGCAGACGATGCGGCTGTGGCCGGGCCTGCGCCTGGTGGGCGCGGGCGGGCGCATCGCCAAGGGCGCCTTCGTGACGGTGAAGGAGGTCTCCGAGGACAAGGTGACGCTGGAGAGCGGGCAGAGCTACGCGCCGGGCACGCTGCTGCACGCGGCGCGCCTGGCGCACGCGGTGACGTACGCCAGCGCGCAGGGCCTGACGCTCCAGGGCCGCGTCTGGCTCTACGACGCCGGAACGCAGCACTTCAACCTGAAGCACCTGTACACGGGCATGAGCAGGGCGACCAGCAGCGAGCTGCTGACGGTGCTTTAGGGCCGCCCTGGGTAAAAGCGAAGCATGGGTCCGGTCAAACTGTTTCCCACCCCCGAGTACACCTCGAAGCAGCCGCGCGATGGCGTGGTGCCGCGGGTGCCCTGCACCGGGATTTTCCTGGGGCCGAGCAAGAGCGGCAAAACGGTCGCGTTGATCAGCGCGATCCTGGAGCAGTACCGCACGGCGGACGGCTCCAGCGTTTTCGAGCGCATCTACATTTTTTCGCCGAGCATAGAGGTGGACGACGGGTGGAGGCCCGTGAAGGAGTTCATCGAGAAGGAGATGGGCGTGAACACCGAAAGGGAGCAGGTCTACTTCGACAAGTGGGACGAGGGGGCGCTGCGCACCATCATAGAGCAGCAAAAGAAGGTCACCAGAACATCCAAGCAGCTTGGCCTCAAAAAGCTCTACCAGGTGCTCATCCTATGCGACGACTTTGCGGACCAGCCGGAATTGCACCGCAGGACGGGAGACGGCGCCTTGGACACGCTGTTCATCCGCGGGCGCCACCTGCAGATCAGCACCTGGGTATCCTCGCAGAAGCTGCGGCTCATCAGCGCCGCCGTTCGGGTGAACATGCAGTTCATCTGCATCTGGCGGCTCCGGAACCAGCTGGAGCTGGAGGCGGTGCTGGAGGAGCTCAGCGCCCTGCTGCCCAAGCAGGAGCTCCTCCAAATGTACCAGGAGGCCACGAGGGAGCCCTACAGCTTCTGGTTCATCTACTACCTCAAGGACAAGGCGAACATGTTCTACAAGCGCTGGGAGGAGCGTTTCGTGCTGGACGGCGCCGAGGAGCCCGCGGAGGCCGCGGAGCCCCAGCAGCCGGTAAATGGGCGGCTTCCTGTCGGCGGCGGCCAGCAAGCTGCTGGGGGGCGGGCCGATCATCGAAAGCGAGTGCAGCAACATTAGGTGCTGCAGCAGCAGCAGCAGCCAGCCCAACGTCTACGACCCGGCGTGTCGGGTGAGTCCACGGCCAGCGGGCTCTCCCGAACACCGTTCCGGTTTAGGAGAAACAAGCCCGCGATGGCCACCATATACATCGACTCCAGGAACCGCGTCTCGGGCTCTGACAGCAACTTCACCTTCGAGCTCCCGGAGACGCTGCACATGCAGACGAGCGCCAAAATGGCGGTCTACAAGGTGCGCATCGCGGACGCGTTCCTGAGCACCGACAGGGGCACGCACCTGTACTGGATCGACGTGGCGCTGGGCACGCTGAACACGGCGGAGCTGCCCGTGGGCGCCTACACCGGCGCGCGGCTGGCGGCCTGGATCTCCTCCAACTTCGCGGCCGCCACCTACGTGGAAGCCACGAACGCCATCGAGGTGGCCTTTGATTCGAATCGCCGCATACTCTCGGACGCGGAGCTGCGGGACCTGTTTCCGAACGGTCCGGGGTACCCCCAGGGCGCCTCGGCCACCCGCCCGCAGAGTCTCAACCACCTGCTGGGCGGCAGCTACCTGGACGGCGCGCTGCAGATCTTCCCCTGGGTGTCCATGAACGCCTACAACGAGGTCTACCTGCGGTGCCGCGAGCTGGGCAACGCGGCCCACGTCCTGGGCCCCTTGGGGACGGACATAATTTGCAAGGTCATCGTGGACCGCGGCGTGGGGCACGTCATGAAGGACCAAACCGACGACGGGCACTTCGTGGAGCTCAGGGGCCCGATCACGCTGCGGTCCCTGAATTTTCGGCTGATGGACGTGAACGGCAACGAGGTGAACACCCGAGGCACGTCCGTCAGCTTCGCGATTTTCCTCGACCCAGAAAAATGAAGGGCCCGAAAGAAAGAAAACCATGGCCGATGAGCCGAAGCCCCAAGAGCCCCAGCAGGGCGCTCCGGAGGCAGCAGGCGCGGAGGAACCTGTTGGAGCAGCCGAGCTGGTGGGAGAGGCTCCTGCAATGGCTGATCCCGCCCCCGCTCCCCCTCCCACACCTCGCGCTGGGGTGGTGGCCGTGCCCACCGCTGAGGACGCCGGAACACCAGCGCCCAAGCGCAGGGGGAGGCCGCCCGGTTCGAAGAACAAGCCCAAGCCGCCGCCGAAGACGGTCCCCGCCGCCGATGCTGGGGGAGGCGGTCAGCCGCAGCCGGCGAGCGCGGTTCCTGCTGAGCCGCAGCCCGAGCAGGAGCCGGAGCCGAAGCAGCGCCCCGTCCACCTGACGCCCTCGCAGGTGCGCATGATGCGCCAGATCAGCCGGCAGAACCGCTTCGAGCAGCTGGCGATGGCGAACACCATGGACGTGTAGAGCCAAAAGGATGATGCCCCTGGAGCGCCGCAACGAGCCCCAGATGCTCAGAAGCTTCTGGCAGAAGTACCCGAGCTACAACCTGAACCCGCTGCTGCACAAGCGCTACAACGAGCTCCTGGAGGCCAGGGCCTTCAACAAGTGGCTCGAGGAGCGCCGGACGCGCAAGGAGGGCGAGGAGTACACCCACGCGGTGGGCCGGCTGACGGAGGCCGTGAACCGCCGGGTGCCCCAGCTGCGGTACGCCCCGGCGGAGCGGGCGGGAGTGCGGCGGATGGCGAGGGACGTCGCGGCGGGCAGGAACACGGCGGACAGCGGCGTTCACGCCGGCATGCTGTAAAGACACGCAGCGCGCATGGAGGAGCGGCGCCAGTACGGCTTCAGGGTGCGCCCCAACTTCGGCCAGGTGCTGGGTACATCGAGGAGGGCGAGCCCCTGGCCATCGGGCTCCCGAACCGGAATGCCTCCATCTACATGAGCTCGCACTTCAGGCTGGACGACTTTCCCGCGTCCAGCGAGCCCCTGAGCGACGAGCCCCTGCCCCACACCCACCTGAACCCCGCGGAGGCCTTCGAGGACGCCCGCGAGGAGGACGGCTACCGGGGCACCCCGTTCCCGCGCCGGGACTTCCTGCGCCCCAGGCCCTTCGACGCCGACTCCGACAGCGACCTGGGAGCGGACCCCGGCCAAGCGCTGAGGCAGGACGGGCTGGCGCTGCCCGACGCCGGGAGCCTGGGAGACCGCGTGCTGGGCGGGCTGCAGAGGGCGGAGGCCGCGGCCGGCGCGGCGGCGGGCGCGGTGGGCTCCGTGGCCTCCATCGCGGCCCACTCCGGGGACCTCTACCACCACGGGCTGCGGGGCCGGCAGTGGCTGGACCGCACGCTGCGCATCCCCAGGACGCCGGAGGGCCTGGCGCCCCCACCGGACGAGGTGGCGCCGCCGGAGATCATCGGCCCGCCTAGCGAGGTGGAGCCGCTGCTGGAGCGGGCGGGCCATCGGGCCGCGGAGGTGGAGCGCCAGGCGGCGCAGGACATCGAGGCCTTCACGCAGGGCCAGATGGCCGAGGCGGAGGCCGAAGGCTTCGCTTCCGCGGCGGAGGCCGCGGCCTCGGGCGCCGAGGCGGCGGCGGCCGCGGAGGCCGCGGGGGGAGGCGCGCTCGCGGCCATCGGCTCCGACCTGGCCGCCGCGGGGGAGGCGGCGCTGCCCGTGGCCGCCACGGTGGGCGCGGCGGCGGGCGGCCTGGCCGTGGCGGGCGCGGGAGCGGCCCTGGTGGGCACCGCCTGGGCGCTGCACGGCGGCATGATGGCGGCCGAGCACTTCCTGGGCTGGGGCGAGGGCGGGGGAGGCACGGACAGCGACCAGTCGAGGCCCAGCTCCGCAGGGGACGTGCAGACGCTGAACGGCGTGCAGGAGGCGGGCGTGCAGCAGCACTTCTCGCTCCGGGAGCAGCGGCCGTGGCCGCAGGTCTTCAGGATGGACGCGGACTCGGAGGCGGAGCCGAGGGCCCAGCCGCCCCCGAGGCTGCAGAGCCGGCAGGCGCGGCAGCCCGCGCTGCCCTTCGGCCTGAACCCGGGCGCGTCCAGCATGCCGATCCCGCAGGGCCGCTCGAGCGGCTCCGACAGCTCCGCCGCCGGCAGGCAGAGCCGCCGCTCCAGCCGCGCCTCCCTGCCCGAGCCCTCGTTCGACCAACTCAGGAGCGACCTCGAACTGGCGTGAACGCAAAAGTACAAAGCGAGACACGCGCGAAGAAGCGATGGACAACGTCACCCAAGCCGTTCAGGATGAGCTCATGCAGAGCTTGGATTACAAGCTCCACACGAGCAACGTAAACTACGTGCAGAGCCGCCGTTCGGTGCAATATTTTCCGAGCTCCTTGAGCACCTTCACGCCCACGACCAGCCGCGTGGCCAGGATCCCGCTGACCAGCGGAATGGACTTCATCGACCCTGAAAGCGTGAAGATTGGTTTTCGGGTGCGGAACACCGACGGAGGGGGCGGGCAGGTCTTTCCCGGCTCCTTCGAGGGCAGCTGCTTCATCAAGCGCGTGCAGCTCTACAGCAACGGCCAGCGCACTGATGACATCACCGACTACGGCCGCAGCTGCTGGCTCTACAGCTTGCTGAAACCTCAGGAATGGTACGATGGTCGGGCCTACGAGGGCTTCTACCCGACCAACCTGGGCAACCCGCCCGCCATCCTGGACGGGAATTTCAAGGATGTGCTGATGCCCCCGACCCTGATCGGCCTCTTCCAAGCGGGCAAGCTTTTGCCCCCGCAGCTCAACCTGGTGCTGGAGATCGAGTTTGCGGAGGCCGCGGACGCGCTTTGGCCGGGAGGCAACGGCTCCACGAGCTACAGCATCGAGAACGTGCGCGTGCTGGCCTCCCAGGTGACGCTGGACAGCGCCCTGGTGGAATCGTTCCTGTAAGATCCTTTGCGTGTAATTTTACACGTTCGCGAAATTTACACGCAAAAAACAGTGTAATTAATTTACACTCCAAAAAAACGTGTAAAAAATTTACACGTTTTCGTGTAAATTTGGGAGTGTAAATTTTGAGTAAAATTTGTCCTATGATGTTAAATGGGCCAAGATGTGCCGAAAAGGTGTTGTGAAAACCAGGCACCGGGAAGTGCGAAGTGTCGAAAAAGTAGTGTTGATTCCGAAGGCCGGACAGGCCGAAGTGGCGATAGGGTCGTAGATTCCGAGAGCTAGATTTGCCGACAGAGACAAAATGTACAGTTGTGAGTCTCGCAAGGCCGACCAAGCCGAAGTGCCCACGAGCATGGCTTGTCTTGTTCTGGTGAAAAAACAAACGAAAAAAAGAGAAAGAGAAAGAGCCAGAGAGCGAGAGAGCGAGGTATCGGGCAGGGCTAGGGTTCCCCTTTGTCGTTTCGTGTGACACCGAGTTATAGGGCAGGGGTATATATATAGGTCTTTCGCACTTGGCAGGATGCATTTTTATTATATATCCTAAACCACAGGAGCTCCTGAAATCAATTCGTGCTTGTGACTTGTGAATGATTTTGTCTGAGACAGTATCACCTACCCCCCGCCATACATCACTGCAGGGCCACTGGCCTGCGGCTTGTGAGGGAGCACAAGACCCTGCACCACTTAACTCCACTGGCAGATCGGGATACAGTTCCAGCCGGTAGCATTCGACCTTCTCTTCGTGCTGTGTTGACTGACACAGCTTGAGAGGCAGAGTGCCGGAAATCAGTACCAGGTCCCCTTATGCAGGCTTTCCGGGGGCGATGGCCGGAAAGTGATTGTGGAGAAAGGTGCACACCCTTCAGGCATGGCGGATCCACCCTGGCCGAGTGGAGGTGAGACTTACACTGGTGTTTGCAAAGACCCCGTGGAGGCCACATCTAAACCCCCCGGGGTAGGCATTGTGGGAGGCCACTTGATTTTCATGATTAGAACTATAGGGCTGCCGGGCCGTGTGTCTTCTCAAGCCCGCCCCTGTCCCTTTCTTGGTGTTACACCGAGTTAGGGCAGGGGTGGGTCTCTCGCACTTAGCAGGACATCCTTTTGCATTTATATTACGAAAATAGTATGGATGTTTTTTTTTCTGGTTTAGGATATATATATATATATAATATATATGTCGGGTTGTCGATATATATATATATATGTATATATATATATATATATAGATAGGGTGTGATTGTGAGAAGAGCAGAACAAGTTCAATCCTGTATCGTTGATAGATGCACAGTGTGATTTGATGTGACCGCCCTGGATGGCCGGCTCCAGCTTTTCGTGGTCCTGGCAAACATTCTCGGGCTTTTGGTGGCAGGACGTCCGAGAGAGAGCGAGAGAGAGAGAGAGAGAGAGAGAGAGAGAGAGAGAGAGAGAGAGAGAGAGAGAGAGAGTGTGTTTGCTTTTCTGCTCACAAGACCGGATGCCAAAGCATGTTCACACATGTGCCTGTGTGTGGTTTGAAGCCGCCGGTGGCCCCGAAGCAGTGGCAAACAGTGTTGTGTTTGTCCGAGGGGTTGCGAAAGCACATGTTATATTATATATTGACAGGTTCACACACATGTGGTAGCAAGCAGCTTTACATGTTTTAGTTTGTGTATCTTTGTATGTGGTAGCAAGCAGCTTTACATGCTTTAGTTTGTATATCTTTGTTGGTGCCCGCCTTGTCCCTTTCTTGGTGTTACACCGAGTTAGGGCAGGCATCTATGAGATGGTTTGCGAATGCATGTTGTTATAGACACAGAGGTTCACAGATTAAGTTGTAGATTTTGTTTGTGGGGCACCTTTTTTTATGTATAGATCTAAATTCGAAGCTCCACACCATGGAGCCGGCCAGCGGCAGTGTCAAGAAGTTGGACAAGACGGCCCTTGAGGGGCTCGATGCCCGCACCGAGAGCACGAAAGTGCCGGAAAGTGCCCTGGAGTCCCTGGAGGACCCGCAGGACCCGCCTTCAGAGAATGAGACCTGCACATCCACGAAAAGGTCCCAGAGCAAGCCCGAACATGGACGCGGGCCCAAGCGAGAGGCCAAGCAGGCCAGGAAAGCATTGATCCACAAGGGCATCCTCTCCAAGGCAGAGGCCGACCAGCTTGATGCCCAGCAGATCCTCGCCCTGAAGAAGAAGTACCGCCAGGGTAGCAGCAAGTTGTCGGAGGTTCTCTTGCAGCAGCTGGCGGAGAACCAGAAGGAGGACCTCTTCCAGAAGCTCTTCGGAGGGCATCAAGAGTGCCCGGAGATGAAGATCCCGGAGATCTCGGACGAGCAGGTGGCCCAGGCCGACAGGATCCTCATGGCCAAGTACATCTACCAAAAGTGCCCCTTCTGCAAGAAGTATGTGGACCAGATGCACCTCCACAACAAGGACCACCGCCGGTACATGAAGGAGCACCTCCAGTCCCACTATCTGTTGACCGATCCCAGCTTGATGAATACGGAGGATGTGGAGCACTCGTTTCTTCGAGTTCGGCGATTCGGAGGGGGCCTGAAGTCGCTTTCTCTCGCAGGCTCCCTGGAGTACTGGGGCGATGTGGAGAGGCTCCCGTCGCTCGTCCGGAGCATGCATGCCACGAGGGCCATGAAGGTGAAGTACGGCCAGTCCTCAACGGCGAAAACGTACGACCTCGAGAAGGAGCAGGTGGGCTTGTGGGTAAAAACGATAACCAATACAAAATAACGATAAGGTTTAGAATAGGATAGGAAGAGTGGCCAGGGGGTTTGGACACGAGCCCAGGTGGCCAAGTACCATTTGGCATGGGTGAGTTATGCCGCTACCTCCGGGAAGTATACGAATGCCACCTACTCCAAGGACCACCTGAAGCTCCACACCCAGCTCCAGAGGCCTAAAGCCTAAAACCTAAACCCTTTCAACCCTCTAAACCCTCTAAACCCGAAACCCTAAACCCTCTAAGCCCTGAACCCTCAACCCTAAACCCTAAACCGTGGCCCTCACAGGAACCCGGAGATGGTCTTCGAGAGCCCCGAGCCTGAAAGCAGCTGGTGGCCTGTGGTCCTGCTGCAGAGGCCCGAGGATGAGGACTTCGACGACATCGAGGGGGTCTTGGCCACCCGGACCATCCTAATCATCTGTTGGTACCAGATCATGGAGGACGGCTTTTGGGTGTGGGTGATGACCATTGAAGAGGTCTGAAGCACTCCCGGAGTGTGAGCCACCCACGAGGTGGAATTTTGAGGTCCACAGGAAACTCCCCTGTACCGTTCTTGGTGTTACACCGATGTTCGGTCAGGGGAGGGGACTGTGTGAGGCACCCACATGAGGTGCCATTTTGAGCTCTCCAAAGCAAACTCCCCTGTTCCTTTCTTGGTGTTACACCGAGTTAGGGCAGGGGAGGGGACTGTGTGAGGCACCCACATGTGTGAGGTGCCATTTTGAGCTCTCCCCTGTTCCTTTCTTGGTGTTACACCGAGTTAGGGCAGGGGAGGGCTATGGAGAGGGCAGTATCATAGCAGGGAGTTCCAAAGCAAACTCCCCTGTCCCTTTCTTTTGTGGTGTGAGTTGTGGATGTTAAGGGGTTGACAAATTCATTACTTTAGTATTTGCCACCAAACACAGAAGATGGATACGACCCGAGTTATATATAGGGCAGGGGAGGCCAGGCACGGCGCTTGGGCTGCCGTCTTGCTTCTGTGATACCTGTGACTCACGGCCTTCTGCTTTCGCAAAAATCTATAGGCCGCCACAGCTTCATGTTGCTGGACCTGGTGTTGCAAAGGGTGGTACAACTGATAACATCGATTTGTTCTTTGTGCTTTTGCTGCCGCAGGAAATCCTTTGATGCCCGGGACATCATCTCCAAGGCTCACAGGCAACTCCACATGTGTGTTTGATGAGATTGTACTGCCCAGGCTGTCTTACCCTAAACCCTAAACCCTAAACCCTAAACCCTAAACCCTAAACCCTAAACCCTAAACCCTAAACCCTAAACCCTAAACCCTAAACCCTAAACCCTATAAACCCTAAACCCTAAACCCTAAACCCCTAAACCCTAAACCCTGAACCCTAAACCCTAAACCCTATAAACCCTATAAACCCTAAACCCTAAACCCTAAACCCTAAATCCTAAACCCTAAACCCCAAACCCTAAACCCTAAAGCCCAAGCCCCTAAGCAGACCAGTATTGCCCAAAGAACCCTGCTGCAGCTTCGTCTCCAATATCCACCCTGTTCCTTTCTTGGTGTTACACCGAGTTAGGGCAGGGGAGGGGAGAGAGTATCGTAGCAGTCCCAAAGACAAAACTCCACACCTGTGCAAAACCCTTTTTGGGGTTTTCGGCCACATTGTACCCGAGCTCTTAACCCTATGGGCTTCAGCTTCAAAGGTTCAAGGTTCAGGGTTAGGGTGTACTTTAGAGCTAGAGCTTTCAGAGCCACATCAAGGGTTCAGGGTTTTTTCAGAGCCATGGCTACTCGTCTGGATCGTCTGATGCACGTCCAACGAAAACCGAGCAACAAGCGAGTGTGTGCTGACTCGACTGTGTCGGCGTCAGAGGTGCAAGGATGCCTCACCGGCCATTTGAGGGACAGGAACACCACAGACCTCTGGTCATGCATCGTTCCGGGGCCGGACGGACCCCGTACATGGAGTTTCAGAAAAAGCCCTGATGGCCGGTGGATGGCGAGATTTGCAGCCCTGGCATTTGACCTGGTCAGCGATGTTTGTCGAAATTCCAAGATACTCAGCAGAGTGATGATTCCAGCAATCCAAGCTTGTGTCTTGAATGGTGTCGTTACCAACAACAGCGGCCAGGACGAGGCCAAGTTCACTGCCTCTGTTGATGTCACGATCAGCAGCTGGTATCGCCAGCTGAAAGTTTGCAAGAAGAAACGGGAGACAGCTTTCAGACGGCTTTCTGAGGCCGAGAAAACCAAAGTTGCAATGGTCATAGACAAGATCGAGCTGAATGAGGACGAGGTTGCAGAGGCTGCGGATGAGGGTGGCTCTGAATCCGAAGTGGACCTGACCTTTATGGTTTCTCTTGATTCCCTGGGTACGACAAACACAGCAGAGGACGACGGGAGTGCTGCATTGCACCGAATGTTCGACAATGTCCTCACGTCTCCTTCCACCGATCCTCCTTCCGGTGGGCCTCCTTCCGGTTCTGCTCCTTCCGGTGATGGTGCTTCTTCCGTGGCACTGAGCAACTTGGAGCTGATTGCTTTGGCCAGAAGTCGCAAGCCTGCATTCATGGTGACCAAGACAGCTTCAGGATCGAAGCCGAGGGCCAAGACCAAGGCCAAGGCCAAAGGTAAAGCCAAGGCGACAGCCATGGTTAAGACGAAACCCAAGTTGAAGGCAGTTCCGAAGAAACCGGCGGCTGCGGTTCCGAAGAAACCGGCGGCTGCGGTTGCAAAGGCCGTGCCAGGTCAGGCTGAGCAAATCTTTACTGCTCCGGATGGTGCTCAGTTTATGTTCATGATGTACGGGAAAGGGCTTCCGACTGAGAGGATTGCCATCTGTGAGTGGCTCGGCACGAAGAGGGGCTGTCAGCTCCTGCAGGTGTCCTCGAAGGGCCTGGCTTCAGAAGCCAGGGCTGTCATTGCTGGGGAGCTCATGGACATGCTGGTTGCTGGCAAATTCTTGGAAGATCTGAAAGCCCGGAAGTTGGAGCTACTTTCGGCCGTGTAGTGTCTAACTCCCCTGTTCCTTTCTTGGTGTTGCACCGAGTTAGGGCAGGGGAGGAGAGTTGTGGGTCAGGGCGCAAAATCTCGTGCACCCGTGTGCTCTCTCAGTTCTCATGAACCCAAAAAGCATTGCCCCCGGACTCTTGGCAGGCACCCGGATGCTTGCAGAAGCTTGTCCAGCTGCTGAGGAAGGCTTGACACCTGTCTGTCTGTTTGTTGGAGAGCAGCACTTATAGGTTTAGGGTTTAGGGTTTAGGGTTTAGGGTTTAAGGTTTACCCTAAACCCTAAACCCTAAACCCTATAAACCCAAAACCCTAAACCCTAAACCCTAAACCCTAAAAACCCTAAACCCTAAACCCAACTAGCAGCCCACTTTCCTGAGTTGCATATGTTCGAAGGATTTCTTTCACACAGGGTTCGGGGGCTAAGAATTGTCGGGTTAGGGTGGAGGGCTTTCGTTTCGGGTTCATCGGGGGGTGGCCATCGCTGCCAGGACCCCGTGCTGGTCGGATGCCGTGTGGTCGCAGACGAAAACATAGCAGAAATTGTGTGCTTCTGTGCAGTGGAGAGATGTGTGGTATAGCTGTGGAATCCCTGTATACAAAGGGACAGCGAAAACCATCACGGGGGGTGGGGTGGGGTAGGGTGGGGTGAGTGTTCTTTTATGCTCCCAAAACAGGCATGTTGTGATTTTTCACAATCAAATCATAAGTTTCGCAATGGTTTCAAACGGAAACTCTTCAAAAACTCTATAGATTGGTAGAATATGTATACAGAAAATGTATATTTTGTGACGGTTTCATTGGAAAACTAAAGAGTTTTGTTAATTCCATAGCATTTGAAGCAAATCTTTCTTATAAAATTAAGAATTGTGTTTAAATTTTGTAGTAATTCTTTTAAAAATTATAGTTTTGTTTTAGAGAAGTGAGAATTTTGTTTAGAAATTAGTGTTTTTCAAAAAGGTTTTTTTATAGTTTTTCTTAAAAAGACATAAGACTTTTCTTTAAAAATTAGTATTTTTCAAAATTTTATAGTATTTTTTTCAAAAACCCATACATTTTACAGTTTTTCTTAAAAAGAAAGAAGAATTTTATTGAAAAATAAGATTTTTTTTCAAAATTTTATAGTATTTTGTTAAAAACACATACTTTTTATGATTTTTCTTAAAAAGAAATAAGAATTTTCTTTCAAAAACAATATTTTTTCAAAATTTTATAGTATTTTTTAAAAAAATAATTTTTTTTAAAAAATAAGAATTTTCTTTAAAAAGTGATATCTTTTTTCAAAATTTTCTAGTTTTTTTTTTAAAAACTATTACATTTTTGCAAAAAGTGCATGCATTTCCACCAAAAGTGCATACACTTTTTGCAAAAGTGTATGCACTTCACTTTTTCAAAAAGTGCATACACTTTTGTGAAAAGTGCATACACTTTTTCAAAAAGTGTATGCAGTTTTGGGAAAAGTGTATACACTTTTGCTAAAAGTGTATACACTTTTATGAAAAGTGTATACACTTTTGTCAAAAGTGTATACACTTTTGCGAAAAGTGTATACACTTTTGGCAAAAGTGTATACACTTTTGGCTGAAAGTGTATACACTTTTGGCAAAAGTGTATACACTTTTGCCAAAAGTGTATACACTTTTGGCCGGAAGTGCATACACTTTTGGCTGAAAAGTATACAATTTCAGCAAAAACAGACAAAATCGGGCTCAGTCTATATAGCTTTTCAATAGAGAAAACTATATATGCCCACAGAAAAAACTTCGTTTCTCCTTCGTGAATGTCTCCTTCTCTGTATCTGTGGGTGTATAAAAATGGTGCAGCGTCGCTGCCCCCCCCACCCCCCCCACCCCATGGTACCCCCCCCATGACGCCCCCCCAAATTCTTCCCCCTGTGGGGTGGTGTGGTTTTAGGGTTTAGGGGGGTGGGGGGGGGGGGTGGGGGGGGGGGGGATATGATGGGGGAGGGGGGGGGGTGGGGGGGGCGGATACCATGGGGGGGGGGGGGGGTGGGGGGGGGGGGGGTACCGAGACGGGACACGGTACTGTTATGTATATATACAAAAAAAAAACAGAAAGGTCGAACAAATAATACAGGGATTCCGCGCGTATATACCTGTGAGAGAGAGAGGATTTCGCTCACACATGGACACACTGAGACGTGGGGCCCATTCTGTCGAAGAGTTTTGGCACATTTTTTTCGCCGGTCACACTCTTTTGTGTGACCATATATCCACACAGCCCGCAGACATGGCAAAGACAAAGCGACAGGAGGCCGAGGAGCCAGAGGCTCCTGAGGAGGTTGAGGAAGAAGAACCGGAAGAGCAAGAAGGAGAAGAGGAGGAAGAGGAACAGGACGAGGAGGTACAGGAGGAGGAAAACGAGACCCCAGTTGTCGCGCCCACCAGTAAGGCAAGACCGTCGGTCCTGAAGTCGTCAGGAAAGCCAGGGGGGAAGGCTGCTGCAAAGGCGAAAAGCACACCAAAGGCGAAGGCCAAGCCCGAAGCGAAGGCCGACTCTGCCAAGGTCAAAGGGCCCAAAGCGAAGGCAACCCCCAAAGCCGAGCCTGCCAAGCCTGGCAAGGCAACACCGAAGCCCGACCCTGCCCAGCCCAAAACGAGGCAAACCACAAAGAAGCCTCAGCCTGCCGACCCAAAACCGAAGGCCAACCCGAAGCCAAAGGCCGAGCCCAAGCCAAAGGCCGACCCGAAGCCAAAGGCCGAGCCCAAGCCAAAGGCCGACCCGAAGCCAAAGGCCAACCCCACAACCCCAAGCCAAAGCCCCTGGTCAAGAAGCGAAGCATGGCAGAGGCCTTGACTGGCGACTGGATCAATGGGCTTGGGCCTGAAGAGACTCCAGCAGAGCCGGAGCAGGCAAAGACCCAACCTTCGCCGAAGCGACGAGACCGCAGCAAGCAGACGAAGTTCAATGTGTTGCTCGCAGCAGGAGCAGTGCCGGAGACTTTGAAGACGGAGTGGGAGGCTTTGAATCAGCAGGGGGGCAGCAAGAGGAAGAACTTGACGAAGTTCATCGAGGAGGCAGTGACTCGTGACCCCGAGTCAGGGAAGCTTTCCCTCAGCTGCGATGCAGCTGCAGTGACCGGGACAAGCTGTCTCACGAAGAAGCAGGAAACGGGGTGGGGAGACAAGGGCTTGCCCCGCACACTCTTCAAAGGGCGCTTTGGGTTGTCGGATGAGCAATTGCGGACAGCCGTCTTGAATGATGAAGTGTCTGTTGTCACACAAGACAACGTGGTGTTCTGTCAATGGAGAACCTTGCGATCCTCCTCCATGGACGAGCGGAGTGACCAGGCAGCAATCAAATCGGACGCTGCCAAAGTCTCCGGCAACCAAGCAGCACAACTCCAGCTTCTGTTCGACAGTGTGGCGATGCAACGGCCTGAGCCTTCGGATGAGGACTTGGTCAGGTTGAACCAGTCGAGCGGCTCTGGTGCGACGGCATCGACTGCTCCGCCGGCCACACCGATGCAAGCTATCGAGGACAAGAAGGAGGAGGGTGCCGTGCCAGCGAAGTTGTCAGAGGCCGACTGGGCGAAAGCGGACGAGCTCCTGAAGAAGGCAGAAGCAGCTGTCGAGAAGCTCAAGAAGGTGCTCCGGAGTATCCTCTAGCAGTCCCCTGTTTCTTTCTTGGTGTTACACCGAGTTAGGGCACACACAGGGAGACGAATATCATTTCCAGGATGCTACCAAGCTGAGCGAGAAGATCAAGCAGAACCCAGACGACCCCCTCCTGGCGAAAATGCATCTCGTCTCGTCACGAGTCTATGTGTATATAAGAGAAAACAGAGTATAGAGAGCCCATGCTTCATGTCACAGCCCCCAACAGGAAGACCACCATCAAAGCTCTGACGGACAAGAAATCTATGCTGGAGCATGTGCGATCCTTCTAGGGCCAGGGACATGTGTACAAGTCTGCCTATATATATGTGCAAATGTGTGCTGCAGGACCTGCCCGATGGCACACACATCAACAAGGAGAATCTCCAAGCGACCCTGCTCGAAGCAGGCCATACATGCTGTGCTGAATCGGGGACCCTCTTCCCTCGACTCGGGACCTTATATATACATCCGAACCCTTCTGCAGGGCAGCTGTGCAACCAAGTGGTCGAGGAGATGTCTGGCTGGAGTGGCCAGTTGAAGGCCCGTGGCCTCTGAGGCCGGCCGCTAGGGGTTTAGGGTCCAGGCTTTAATTTTTAAGGGCTTAGAGGGCTTTAGAGATGATTTAAAGAGTTGATCCTAAACCCTCAGAAACAGGGATAATCATGCTAAGTATTGCCCAAAAAGCCTGGTCCCTTTTGTGGCTCTAAACCCTCAGAAGTCCGGATAATCATGCTAAGTATTGCCCAAAGCCTTCTCTCCAATATCCACCCTGTTCCTTCCTTGTGGTGTTACACCGAGTTATCGGTCAGGGGAGGGGACAGTATCATAGCAGTCCCCTGTCCCTTTTTCTTGGTGTTACACCGAGTTATAGGGCAGGGAGGGGTTCAGGGTTATAGGGTTTTTACTTTACAGAGCAAAATATGAGCTCATTGGACATGTCCTATCTCTGTTGTTCTGATGGCCGCTTTGCCGGTGGGGCCACCTCCCAAAAAAAAAAGGGCCACAGGTGCTGGCATCGCAGCAGCCAGCAGTGAACTGCCAGGCTCCAGATTGAGAGTTTGGCTCCTGGAACAGTTTGCATGGGGCCTGCTATCACCACAGCACAGGTGCAAGCAATATCTCTGGCAGCATTGCACGATGCCAGAGAACGAACTGTAAGTGACCTCGTCGCCAAGCTTGGAACCTCCGGTCAACACAGCAACAATGTCAACAGGGACTTGATGAGACTGGTCGGGCAGGAGCCACTGATGTACAATCCCAGTCGCACCACTTTGCGAAAAGATGCTTCGGAAGTGCCTGTGCCCATCGACGGAGTGCCGAGCGACGAGCATGCCTACACCATCAGCCTGCCACACGAGTTATTTAGCAGCCTCTACCACAATTACAAGGCAGCATGGAAACAAGTGATCATGCCTGGACAGGCGTCTTTGGATCGCTTTTGGCAGTCGGCCAGAGGGCTGCCGCAGTGGCAGGGCCACCCACTGGCATCGGAGCCATCCCTGAGCAAAATAATACCACTATCATTGCACGGCGACGAGACACCGGTGCTGGCCAAGGGGAAAATTTGGTCCTCCAGTGCATTGGTGATGTCGTGGGCTTCCCTTGTGGGTAGCGGCTCCACGAAACAAAGCCAGCTGTACATCTGGGCCGCCTGGCACAAGTCATTCTCTAGCCAGACGAATGATGACCTGTGGAGTCTTTTACTCCGGACTTTCGAATCGTTGTGGTCCGGAATTTTCCCGAAAGCCGACTGGCGAGGATATGATTTCGATCCCGACAGTCCCGAGGGACAGCGAGCTGGCCAATACCTCGCCGACGGGTGGCGAGGGGTCCTGGTGGCCAGCTGTGGCGACCTGGACTACATGGCACAGTTCCAGGGCCTTCCCCGGTGGAATTCAAATTCCCCTTGCTGCCTGTGCCAATGCCACAAACGAGGAGACCTTTCCTGGCACTGTTTTTCCGACGATGCCCAATGGAGGACAAGTCTGTGGACCCCTGCTGCTTGGAAAGCATGGCCCGACCGAAGCATGAACAAGATGTTCCAGAAGGACCTTTGTTCCGTGCTCGTGGTCCATTTCGACCTGATGCACTGTCGATACCTTGGCTATCTGCAGCAGCTATATGGGTCGGTTTTTTGGATCCTCTGTGAGGAAATGATGCAGGCGACTCCAGGCGAAAATTTGCATGAACTCTGGGGCTTCCTGAAGACATACCAATCCACCCACAAGGTCCACAGCCCCTACTCCCAGAGACTGAACAAGGTCAGTATGTACAAGAAACAGAAGGACTATCCGAAGCTTCGTGGAAAAGCGGCGGAAATCAAGGACATGGCAGCAGCCGTGCGAGCAATGTGGGCTCATTTTGGTGTTCCTGGTCAAGACTTCCAAGAGATTGGGTTACTCCTTGATTTGACATGCAAGTTCGAGGAGATATTGGAGGAATGGCCGATTGCACAGGGCTATTTCTGCCTTCCTGCCGAAGCTGCAGACAGACTCAAGGCGAACCATCGGGACTTCGCATGCTTGTATGTCATGGTCGGGGACCGCTTTCAGAGCGAAGGTCGTCGGGCCTTCAATCCAACCAAGTGGTCGAGGAGATGTCTGGCTGGAGTGGCCAGTTGAAGGCCCGTGGCCTCTGAGGCCGGCCGCTAGGGGTTTAGGGTCCAGGCTGGGTTTTTTAAGGGCTTAGAGGGCTTTAGAGATGATTTAAAGAGTTGATCTCTCTGTCGCTCTCTCTCTCTCTCTCTCTCTCTCTCTCTCTCTCTCTCTCTCTCTCTCTCTCTCTCTCTCTCTCTCTCTCTCTCTCTCTCTCTCTCTCTCTCTCTCTCTCTCTCACTTTCTTTCTGCTTTCTTTTTCTTTGGCTGACTCCCTCGCTCGCTGTCGCTTGGTTTGTGAAACATTCTAGCATGCAAGCAGCATGGGTGCTGAGTCTTGTTTTCTTGGCTCCAGTCGCAGGTCTTGTGAGGTTGTAGAAGACATCACCCCATCGGAGGCTTGCCCCGAAAAGCTACTGTGTTCGGAGGCTTGCCCCGATGCAAAAACGGCAGGAGATCCCAGCAGGGCCAATTCCGCTGGGTCGCAGGGCTGACGAGGTGCCTGTGAAGTGGCCACCGCCCACACGAACTCGGTCCTGGCACGAGCCACAAGTGAAGGAGGGTCCGACGGAGAGGCCTCGGGCCTGTAGTGTGCCCTCCAAAGTTTTGTACAAGGGCAGCCAGGTGCCGACGAGAAAGTGTCCGCCGTGGGCTTTGAGGTTTGTCAATGGACAGCCAGGTGCCAACTAGAAAAGCGAGAGGAGGCGAGCCACAAGCTGTGAACCTGAAGATGAGGCTTGCACTTCACCTGGAGTGGCAGAAGCTATATACACTTCCGGCCAAAAGTGTGATTCGGACTATAGGGCTGCCGGGCCGTGTCTTCTCGTGTCTTCTCACAAGCCCGCCCCTGTTCCTTTCTTGGTGTTACACCGAGTTAGGGCAGGGGTAGGTCTCTCGCACTTGGCAGGACATCCTTTTGGGTGCTGCCGAACGATGAGAGTGCTCTCGCGGAAAAAAAGAGAGAATTTAGCAGTGCACAGAGGCCTGCCATATAAATCCTGAACCCTACACCCTAAACCAACAAAAGGAAGACTCTGTTTGCATCTTTCTGGCAGGCTGGGTTTTGGCACGGCTGACGAAGGCCTGCTCCAAGGGTTTCAGTTTACAGAGTGTGTGTTTGCATTCCCACAAAAGAAGATTCAGAGTGCTCTCTGGCAGGCTGTGGCTGGTTCTGACTCCAAAGCAAACTCTTCTGTGCCTTTCTTGGCGTTACACCGAGTTAGGACAGGGGAGGGCTATGGAGGGCAGCATCGCCATCCTCAACGACGAGTGATGACGAGATGAGTGCTTTGTCCCTTCTGTTGGTGTTACACCGAGTTATAGGGCAGGGGAAAGGAAAATATATCAAAAAGAACTCCCCTGTTACTTTCTTGGTGTTACACCGAGTTATAGGTCAGGCCGTAGTATATCATAGCAGTCCCCTGTCCCTTTTTCTTGGTGTTACACCGAGTTCGGGCACAGGGGGAGGTCTCTCGCACTTGGAAGGACATCCGGGTGCTGCCGAAGCACTCTCATCGCTCTCGCGAAAAAAGAAATTCGCAGTGCAGATTCGAAACCTGTGACACATCGACTTCCAAAGAAGGGCATCGCATGCTTCATTGAAGCTTTTGCACAACGAAACTGCGAACGGCTCATTAAAGCACAGCAGGAAAAGTTTTGACCGACGAGGTGTGAGGGCACACGCACAGAGAGTGAGAGAAAGAGGGAAAACACACACGAACCCTATAAACCCTATAGAGACCTTTTTTGCCTTAAACCCTCTATAAAACCCTACAGACCTTACACACCCTCTCATTTTTTGGATCAAATTTTCTGCTACAGACCTTATACCCTAAACCCTAAAACTTAATTATTGTGGCTCAAGTTTTTGGCTCAAATAGAACAGAGGATCTCCTCCAGAAAAAAGATGTGCTGGTGGCTCGAACTTCTGTGGCTCAAACCTCCACCAAAAAATTCTTCTGGCTCAAATTTCTGGCTCAGAAGAACAGAGAACTCTCTCTCCTCCACACAAACATGTATACATCTCTTTGTTCGGCTCGTTGTTGTGCCGGCCGCATTCTTCAGTGGAGGCGACAACATCTGTTTTTTCGTGTGTGTGTTTCGTCCAAATGGCATTGGGAAACACATGGATACACAAACAAAACGGAATTGTGTGCCAGTAGTCTCGGCTTCAAATGTACCGAAACAGAGTGTAATTCGGAGAACATGGGTGTATAAATTACACGTTTTGACGTGTAATTTACACACCCAAATTTACACAAAAACGTGTAATTTCCAGGGATAGATTTACACGTCAAAAACGTGTAAAAAATTAAAAAATGTAAAATGTAAAATTACACGAAAAGGATCTTACAGGTTCAACAAAGTGTTGCTTTCGGGCCGCAGCCTCGTTTTTTCGTACCCTACAATGCACACGCAGGTCTCCAACATCCCCGCGGGCTCCACCAGTCACAACGTCACCGTCGCGAGGGCCTACACCAAGCTCATGGGCGCTTTCGTGACCTTCAAGGATGCCGACGACGCCCTGGGCGAGGTGATGAACCTGGAATATCCAGCGGTCAACGGGCAGTTGGAGAGCCAAATGCAGCTGGGGGCCCTGGTTTATCCAAGGTACCCTATGGCCAGCATGGCTGAGCATCATCACCACTTGGAGATCATGGCGGGGGCCTACGACTCCAAGATCCGGAACATGCGCCTGAACCGCCTCGAGTTCGAGGACACGCAGTTCATCGCCGCGTTCCCGGTGGAGCGCGTGCCCAAGCACCCGCTCTCGGGCATCTCGACGCGCTCCGGCGACCTCGCGCGCTTCACATTCAAGAACATGCAGGCGGACCGCGCGCAGCAAGTCTATGTCCACCTTATCTCGTTCCAAATCGTGACTCTCTCCGGCGCCGGCGTGAGCGTGCTCGATTAGCCGGGCACCAAAAGAAAATAGAGCGTGAGCAGCTGAGGAGCTTCTTGTAAGCGGTACCGGCAGCCATGCCACAGGTGCGCAAGAAGTGCAAGCACGGCAAAAGGCAGAACGGTTTCTTCTGCATGGAATGTTGCGGGCCTGGGACCTGCCAACACAGGTCGAATCGGTACCAGTGCAACATCTGCAATGGTTCGCAGATTTGCAAGTGTGGAAAATTCAAGCATGCTTGCAAAACTTGCAAAGGCACGAGTATATGCGCCCACAACAAAATGCGCCAACACTGCGTGCTCTGCAAAGGCTCTGGTATCTGCCCGCACGAGAAGCAGCGGACGAACTGCGCGCTTTGTCAGTCCTTCGTTTGTGAGCTTGAGCAGTGCCACATGTATGGACACCGCTTTTGCAGTTCACAGAGGCTGCTGGACCACATGCGCAGCTTCCACGGCGACGACCCGAAGGCGCTGACGAAGCGCAAGGAGCTCGAGGTGCACCGGCTGCTGGGCGAAGCGGGCCTGCAGTTCGAATACCAGCACCACCTGCCTTTCCGCGGCTGCGGGCTGGACTCCGAGACCAGCCGCGCCTTCGCGGACTTCGTGCTGTACGCCAGCTGGGGCGCCGTCATCCTCGAGGTGGACGAGAACCAGCACGGGCACCAGGACCCCAGCTGCGACGTGCGCCGCGACTTTGACATGGCGGCGAGCGTGGCGCTGGGCAGCCAGCACAAGCTGGCCGTCCTCCGCTTCAACCCAGACGCCTTCGGGCGGACGGTGCGCACGGGCAAAAAGGAGCGCCACGCCCGCCTCCTGCAGCTCCTGCACGAGCTGCTGCAGGAGGAGCCCGAGAGGCCATTCCAGCGCCTTTTCCTGTACTACGACAGGGCGGCCGAGGACAGCCAGCTGCCCGCCGTAGCGGAGGAGTGGGACGTGGTGGCCCGCGCCGTGTCCCGGGCGGTGGTGTAAAAAGCATGAGCCTCTTCTCTAGCACCATCACGGGCAACGTTTTGGACGATGGAGTCACCACCGAAACCTCCGGCATCACCGCCGGGCAGCTGGCCACCGTGCTGACGCAGTACACGCCCCTGGAAACCACGACCGGGAACACCGCGAGCATCGGCACCAACACCGCGGGCGTGGCCACCAACGCGGCCGCCGTGGCCGCCCTGCAGGCCCAAGTGGCCGCGCTGCCCCCGCCGCCCGACCTGACGCCTTACGCCCTGGCCGCGGACGACAACTCCGCCCGGAGCCAGTTCTGGAAGCTGCTGGAGCTCCACACCAGCTGCAACGGGTCGGCCGCCTCGAGACCGCGCACGAGCCCGGACTCGTGCTCTTCCGGGTCGTGGTAGAGGCGCCTGAGGGACCCCTCGGCCGCGCCCTGCAGCTGCCTGCGGAGCCGCTCCGGGTCCCGCAGCGCGTCCCAGGCCGCGTCCGCGGGCGCGGGCCAGCGGGCGCCCAGCCACACCGTCTCGGGCAGGGGCAGCCGCAGCCGGCACGCCACCTCGGCGGGCAGCCCCGCGCGCACCTCGCGGGCCACAGCGGCCGCGGCCGCGAGCATGGCAGCAGGCAGCCGCGCATCTCCTCGCGGAGCTGCTGCAGCAGCGCCTCGCGCCGCGCGGCGGCCGCCTCCTGCGCGTCGATAAGCTGCCGCGCCAGCGCGGCCGTCTGCTCGCGGCGGTGGCGGGCGGCGCGGGCCGCCTCGAGCCAGGCGCCCAGCAGGTCGCCGCGCGGGACCGGCGGGTCCAGCAGCAAGCGCAGCCGGTCCTCGCGGGGCGTGGTGGTCCGCCCCGTCAGCGCGCAGTACTCCGCAGCGCCGATGAGGCGCAGCCAGGAGCCGGAGTAGCGCCGCCGGTGCACGTCGCCCCGCGCGTTGTGCAGCAGCTGGGACACCTGCACGTAGACCCTGCGCTTGCGGCTCTGCGGGGTCTTGAGCCAGGCGACCAGCTGCGTGCCGAGGAGCTGGTGCTCCACCGCCTGGCGGCGCGCCCAGGCACCCACCACGCCCAGCAGCGGCTCCTCGGTCGCCACTGCGGCCCTGAGGTCGATGGCCACCGCGGGCCAGGAGGCAGCAGCGGGAGGAGAGGCCATGGCTGCGCGGAGTCAGGCTCGAGCCCAAAAACGAC